TTTTAAAAAGTTGGTCTTCGTAAAAGATCTTCCCAAAGAGCTTTTACAACAGCAGGCAGAAGTGTTCTTTTATGTTTACAGTGTTCAAAATGCTGATTCTCCCACTACATAGTGGCCTCAACCATTGCTCTCAACCCAAAATACTGTTCTCAATAGCTAGTGTACTTCAAATTTAAGTACCCAATGTCATAAAATTCAGGGCTAGAAAACGTCTTTTGAAGTGTGCTTATCCCTAACACATTTTAAAATATCTAGAATTCTTCAACTTCAGTTGAAAGCAGGGATACAGCAGGAAAAAAAAACTTTCCATTTTAAGTCCTAAAGTGACTAAACACCTGTTAGTTCTAAGTGTGGAAATTATGTACCGTAGTTAAGTTTAAGGATCTGGGTGACTGAACGGCACAAAAACTGGGGTTTATATCTAGTTCTTCAGATAAAAAACCATCCTTTTATAAAATTAAAATGCCACAGCCGGTTAAGAGCATGTGCTACACTGATGTGTCTTAATATAGTCAAAGTGACAAAACAACTGCTTTATGAGGAAAGAGTAGTAGTAAGGAAATTTGTTGGGGGAGGAAAGACACTCAAAATTCTAAACACAGCTGTCTTATAAGAAATATATAAATCCACAGACAGACTCCTTTAAAAGCTGGAATTCTACAAGAGTTGTTTATAATGAGGCAGCAATAGAGCCTCCTTGAAAGAGTACGGGCTTCAGAATCAGACGTGGATTGCTTCTTGGCCTTTTGGCTAAGATCAAGTGCAGAATCACACGTGGTCAAATCCCAGCTCTATCACAGCTGTGTTAAATTAGCCAAGTTTCTGAATTTCTCTGAGTCTTTCCTCTATAAAATGGAGACAATTAGCACCTACCTTATAGAAAATTACGGTAAAATCATGTATACAGCACAATGGCAAGTGTGGCACTCAAAAGAAAAAAAAAAAGACTGGTAATTTTTTGAATCATTTTTCAGAAAAATGAATCCAAACCCTTCATGCTATGTTCAGAAAATCCTAAAAAATATAAATAATGCTTAAGTTTCAAAATTTAAGATTTTTAAAAACATATTTTCCATCACACATTCCCCCATGAGATACTACTACTCCAGTCATATTTAGGCCGTTTATACCATTTTCTATTCATATTAATGCCCAAGTCCTAATCGTTTCATTTCCCATTTTCTCCTTCCTTCCCCCCCCCTTTTTTTTTTAATTATTTCTTTTTCCTCTTGGTTCTTATTAAACAACTTTAAGATGTGTTATGTACCTATTATGTACCAGTGTTCTAAGCACTTTACATGAATTAACTCATTTAGCTCACTCTTCTCCATTATTAGGAGGGCTGTGACTAACCCAGCTAGTGTTTTCCCCCAATTTCAGAGCTACTCATTACTGCTCAGTTTCCCCTTCCTATGTTTCTTTTTAAAACTCTTAATTCCTAGTGTGCTAATTAGCAAAATATCTAGTCAGTGACAAAAATGAACAGGGGTCCATATGGAAGTATCTGTCTCTGAGAACTAAGAAATAATGCACAATCTTGATTTATAAGATGGTCTGTAATTACAGAGTTAATATGAAAGAAAGTTTTATACTCCTTCATTAAAATTAAAAGCTCTAAAATACTTTCATTTAAAATATGAATTACAAGAGACAACTTTGCCAAATGTTAACATAATTCTGCCAGAGATCCACAGACAAAATTATGAGTATTCCATTGTTACCTCTGAGACCAATTTTAAGTTCTTGGTATCTATCAACTTCCTGAAATTGTACTGTAAGTCAGAAAAAGAATATACTTAAAAAAATAGAAATGTCCAGTAGTATACCTTAGTACTAAAACTATTTTTTAAAAAGATCTAGATGGGAAAAGGCAGTCCCTCAAGATCATGAAACGAAATAAGTTAAGCAGTCAGCAAGTAGAAAAATCTGTCAATTCTGTTTCTGGTAAAATGTTTACTTCAAAGAAATTTAATAGGCTGAGGCTAATATATTCAAGAGTATAAACACTTTTCCTTTGGATTACCTAAAAAACAAACTTTTAAAGTATCATATTTCAATTGACTAAAAATATAGCCAAATCTGTCACAACACAACATAAAAGGTAATGGACAATTATAGAATATTTTAAATTAACAGTAACAAGCCATCTACATCAAACCTTATTTCCAACTAAAACCAAACAAAAGCACAACAATCCCGTAGTGTACCAAGTGTGTATTTCAATTTACTGTATGCAATCTAACAAAAATTTGGTCATAATTTACCAGATATACATAAATGATTTAAGTAGTAAAAGAAATTCAGCTTCAAGAGAGTAAGTTCATATTCTGAGGAAAAGTAAAAGTACATTAAGAATATAAAGCCAAGTCCAGTTTCTATGCAATAAGTGAACTGTAGTCTAATAAAGCAGATTTAGGTGATTTTTAGATATATATCTTTTTTTCTTTAATATATATTTATATATAGACAGATCTACCAATTGTAAACTAGTTTATTTAAAGGAAGGGGATAAATGGGATGAAAGAAGTCTTTATACTATACTTACATATTCACAAAGAACATTTTACGTTTAAAATACTTTTTCATTCATAGTATCTTTGCCCAACTAATTTCTACCAGAAATACATTTTACTCATTTGTCTAGAACATTAAGATGTACTCATCCATTTTAAACAAAAATCAAACCAAAACTATTTGTATCTGTCAGGTTTACAGTTGTGTAGAAACTACAATACAGATGACAAAAGCTGCATCTAACCATGTAACTGTAATTTATCTTTGATTTATCTAAGCAGAAACATCATTGTCTAACAAACCATTATTCTACTGAAATCAGAGACAATGATAGGGCTTGTCTCTTAAAAAACATCAACTTTTCAACTTTGATCAGATGGAGCACCAAAGGGATTATATATCTGTCAAAGTATCTTTGCAATTTTTTTCCCACATAACTAGCATAATTTAGTTACCTGATATAAAATAGGAAAATATACTCAATTTTTATTTAAAAGAAAGCTGAAAATATGACATCCCTCAATCTTATATAATATACAGTATGCTCATAATGTCATACATGTTAATATGTGAAATGCTGCTGAGAGTTCCACAAACAGCTAATTCATGTCACCAGGCTAAGTAAATCTGACAATTTCATCTCAATGTCACCCTTTTGTACCCTGAAGAATTTAGAGAATAAAGCTTCTCAGTATATGATTTCTGAGACTGTTGAAACATGGTGACTACTATAACGACTGTATCAAGGTGAGTGACTTCAAAGAACAGAAAAAAATAAGTTATTGATCATAATTTCCAAATAATATCCCAGTAAGTATAAAACAATAAGAGAATGCTCATTTTGTGTTAATTTTAATGACAAAAAAGACACAGGGGCAAAAACCTGATATTTCACTCATATTGCATAACAAGCTAACCAAACTGGACATGGTGGATAGATTATAAAACAAATCATCTTAATTATCTCTATGATTTTTCTTTTAATTAGGCCTTTCAAATACGACTGAGGTATAGTACACTGGCAAAAATAAAGAGGCAAACAAGAATAGTGACAAAGTAACAGATACCCAAAACCGAATACCATGTCAGCAAACATTATAGTAACCATTTATCAGATTAGAGCAGCAGAAGAAAGTTACTTCTAAATCATAATCATTTTAGTGGTATTTGTCAACTTCGCCACGGTAACTTCGCAACATCATTCTTCACTTGTGAAGTAGTAAAATTCATGTCAGAAAGGAAGGGGGGATATGGAGGAAGTCAGTTAATTCATTCCAATAAATTACCTCTCCAGTTCTTATAAACATGCCCATCAGCACAAAATTGAGAAATAATACCTAAGACTAGAAGAGACTTGGTTTAAGTTATGAAGCAAATTAAAATGGAAAAATACAAGAAAATAGAACCAATGGGGTTGAAAAAGCCCCACACTGAAAATCTGTATTAAAAAAAATAAAATTAATAAAAATAAAAATAGAAACAAAACTCTACTAGTACAAACTAGCCTGAGTGGTTTGATGGACAAAGTGATTGGGTCAATTGTCACCGTACTTCCATAAATGGATTTTCTCCACTCATGTTAAAGTAGCACATGAATGTAAGCTCTTTAAGGATTATTTTCATAGGACCCAAATAGTTACTGTATATTGTATAAATAAAAAATATTTTACTTTGATAACTGACTGAGTATGTGGGGACTCCATATAATCCAACCACATGGTTGTCTGCTGTATAGTCCTGTGCAAATATTAAAAAAAATTTTTTTTTGCTATAAGGCTTTGACCCTACAGTTTTCACAGCAACATAACTACTATCCAGCATGTACCATTATTTTGCAAGCCTTCAAGTTCAACAATCCAAATTGTCGCTTCATATTAGGTCCAAATGCAGCATCCTTGAGGAGTATAGTAGGTCAGTTAATCATCTAGAGACATACAAACTTCTCCTGATTCATCCCATCGAGAGGGATCATTCTGATCTTCTCCATCATCAACTAGCTCTTCATCAGCTTCTCCTACTTCATTCTCCTCGTATTCTTCATCCCGAGGGAATTCTGTATCCTGTCCCTGATCTACACCTTCTTGCCCTCCTGGTTGTGATTTATCTGCACAGTCTACACAAACACCGTAACGTCGAGATCCATGTCTTATTCCAACACTGGCTGCTAACATGAAGATCTTCTTACACACCATACATTTGTATTTTTTATCCTTTTTATGCACCTAATTGAAGGGGGGGGAAAATCCAATATAAGGCTATTATATATAATAGAATGCATTTGACCCACTCAAACCACACATTTAATGAGTAAATACCACTGTTTCTCTGTTAAAAGCTCATTATCAGTTCCTAAGTCAAACTCTTTGTCTAAAGCAATTTAAGAGACAATCTTCCTTATATTCACAATTAACTGTTTAAATCCCTTTAAACTTCACTGACATCAATATAGTTTATCTCAAAAATCAGGTGTATTTAAAGTTACCTACCAGGGAATGTCTTTTTACATGTTCTCTTCGAGTAAACAGTTTTCCACAAATATCACAGCTAAATGATCTCACTCCTGTGTGAATGAGCAAGTGCCTTTTTAGTGTTCGTCTGTATTTGGCTACATAGCTACAGTGAGGGCATTTTAACTTGTTCATGATTAGAGATGATTCACCTATGAGAATTAACAAAAAAACAAAGTGCTTATTACACATTAAATAGAAAACTCGCTATCAAAACTTATTTCTACCCCTGAGAACAGCAACTGACATGGAGCTACTGCTATTTGGTTTTTTAAAAATGCACAATATGCAAGCTTTTAATTGTTAACAGTTATTTAACAAGTAATTCTGTACTTGTTTAGTTGACTAATACTTGCCATTTTCCCAAGTTTCTTGTTTTGGCCAAGATTCTGGCAATAATCCATACTTGAAATCATTTGAAGCACCTGGTATCAATCCATACTTGAAATCATTTGAAGTACCCGGTATCAATCCATACTTGAAATCATTTGAAGGACCAGGCATCAAACCATACTTGAAATCATGTGAAGTACCTAGTACAAGTAAGAATTCTGAATTAATAATGGTAATAAGTATCTGTCTCTTCATTAGAGTCAAAAAAACATATATCCTATGAGCATTATAACTTCATAATGAGTTAAATAAAACTGTATTTTAGTCTAACATTGAGAAGTCTTCCTACTTTATTATCACAATAAAACAAAATACTATTCAACTACAGAAGAAATTCAGTTAAAAAACAAATCCTGGACCAATCACAGTGGCTCATGCATGTAATCCCAGCACTTTGGGAGGCTGAGGCAGAAGGATCGCTTGAGCCCAGGAGACTGCAACCAGCCTGGGCGACAATGGCGAGAAACTCCATCTCCATCTATACAAATTTTTTTTTTTAAAGTAGCTGGATATGGTGGTGTGCTAAGTCCCAGCTACTTTAGACAATCATTTGAGCCCAGCGGTTGCAGTGATTCAAGATCACGACTGCCCTTCCGGCTGGGTGACACAGTGGCACCCTGTCTCAAAAAAATTAAAAGTAGGGGGAGAGAAAGAAAATAACATGAATATCATTTAATCACGTAGATGCCACAAGAAATTACCCTTTTAAAGGATAGGTACATTTATACCATAACTCCTAAGAGTTGCTTTTTCTAACTACTACTCTATCACTCAAGATTGTATCACCCTGAAGACCAGCTGTCAAATAGGATGTTCTCCTTATTACAAACCCAGGACAGGCACATAATTTTAAGATGAACTGGTTCAGAAAAACAGACTGAGAATAAAGCATACATACAGGATAATTACAAATTTAAGTTCTATTACTAGATCTTTGTTGTTTCAGACATATTAGGGCAAGGTAACTGAATGCTTTCAGGATTCGGTGAAATTTCTTTCTTTCTAACTCAATCCTTATATAAAATAATGTGCAGAAAATAGAAGGAAAACAGAATAATAGATGTCCCTAAGATCTTCAGATTAGCAAGGGCAGGAATTATATCCACTGAATTTAACTCCATCTTTAATGTAATTTGTTGGACCAGGAATGTTTTGGCAACAGGAATATGTCCAGACTCCTCCACAACTATTGCCACCCTGATCCAATCAATCATGTGCTCTACCCCCTGGACTGTTTTCAGTAGCCATCACCAACTTGTCTCCCTGCTCTGTTTTCAGCAGAAGTCATAGATTCTTTTAAAACACTACCTTAAGGCAGGTTACCACTCAGCTTACAAGGCTACAAATACTACCCACCTCGAAGTAAAAGCTGGAAGACTTTCAATATCCTCCAAAGCCTTACCTGGTGGAACTATGACTTCCAATCAATCACCTTTTCAGTCACTCCATTCCAACCATACTGACCTCTGCGCTAGTCCTCCATGATAAACATGCTCCCAATTCAAAGCATTTATGTTTTCCTCTGCCTGAAACACTCCTTGCCAGGATATATGCATAGTTCACTCAAGCAGCAATAATCCACTTTTCCTCCCATGGGCATCACGGTTTTAAAAGTAAAAGAATGTTTACCCAAATGGATTTCCTAAGAATCATTTCACATATATGTTCCCAGACAAGTTGTCCCTCTTAAAAATTAAGATTCCTGCCAGGCACAGTGGCTCACACCTGTAATTCCTGCACTTTGGGAGGCTGAGGGTGGCAGACCACAAGGTCAAGAGATCAAGACCATCCTGGCCAACATGGTGATACCCCCATCTCTATTAAAAATACAAAAATTACCTGGGCATGGTGTTGCACGCCTGTTGTCCCAGCTACTGGGGAGGCTGAAGCAGGAGAACGGCTTGAACCTGGGAGGCGGAGTTTGCAGTGAGCGCAGATCACACCACTGTACTCCAGCCTGGTGACAGAGCAAGACTCCGTCTCAAAAAAAGATTCTGGCTGGTCCGATGGTAGTGGGTTATCAGAACTTATTAACATTAGTGTCACTAAAGTTGGTATGCAATCCCCCACTGCTAAATTCAACTGGCTTAAAAATAAAAAAGATTCCTTTTTGGTGAAAGTCTTAATACCCAGCAAAGTAAAAATGTCTCTGAAGTATTTTAAAACTGCCCATCAGAGGCTGGGCACCGTGGCTCATGCCTGTAATCCCAGCAACAAGGTGGGTGGGTCACCTGAGGTTGGGAGTTTAAGACCAGTCTGAACAACATGGAGAAACCGTCTCTAATACAAAAAATACAAAATTAGCTGGGCATGGTGGCACATGCCTGTAATCCTAGCTACTCGGGAGGCTGCGGCAGAATGGCTTGAGCCCGGGAGGCAGAGGCTGGGGTGCGCCAAGATGGTGCCACTGTACTCAACTCCAGCCTGGGCAACAAGACCAAAACTCCATTTTTAGAAAAAAGCACATCATTACTATTACTGTAAACGGTATTGTACTTGGAATACCTTCACCAGTTTCTGATGTAAAGAAAGCCTCCTGAACCCACAGTTACATATAATTCAACTACAACTCATTATTATAGTTGCACCTAGTTAGTGTTTGGGAATAAGTACTAAGAATCCTAAAGTGAGGCATTTCTGTGTGTGGGATAAAGAATGGGATGGAGGTGGTAGCCTGTGGAGGTCAACCTACTTTTAGTTTCACAATTCTAAATAAAGTTACAACTTTATGATTCATATTTCTTGCCTAAATCAGTACAAAGCTAAACTCCAAGAGAGCAAGAACTGTGCCTATCTTCCTCGCTTCTGTTTTTCTATTGTCTAAGACATATATGCTGCTCTCCAATTACTTGTGGAATAAATGTTATCTAGAAAATGCCAATATGTACTTCTGACTTGCTCAAAATACTTAGAAAACAAGTATCAAAAGACATGTCAGATGTTCTAATATCTACAATTAAATATTATTCACAACATCTAAGAGTAAGGAAATAGGCCAGGCACAGTGGCTCATGCCTATCATCCCAGTACTTTTAGAGGCTGAGGTGGGAGGATAGCTTGAGCCCATGAGATTCAGACCAGCCTGGGTGACAGAGCGAAGCCCCATCTCAACAGAAAAAGGAAACAGAATATCCCTAAAACAATTCATAAACTGAAAATCCAAGATTTACCAACCAAATGGAGAGCAAAAATAAATAAATAAATAAATGGCAGGAGTTGCAATTCTCGTATCGGATAAAATAGATTTTAAAGCAACAAAGATATAGTGGTAAAAGGATCAATGCAACAACAAGAGCTAACGATCCTAACACCCAGATACATAGAGACTTAGATTCAATGAGACAGAAAATTAATAAGGATATCAAGGACTCAAACTCAGATCCGGAATAAGTAAACTTAATAAATATTTATAAAGCTCTCCACTTCAAATACATAAAATACACATTCTTGTCAATACCACATCACACCTACTTATAGGTTTAAATGAAACATTGATTGGCCATTATCAATACCCTTTTTTTTTTTCAGAATAAAGCAATATTTCCATTCATCCTCCCTCTTTCTCTTCCTTTCTTCCTCTCCTTTACTCATTTTTTTCCTTCTCTCAAAAAAAAAGAAAAAAAAATTAAAAAAAAAATCTTTTTGCAAACCTAATAGTTTCTAATCCTTTGCCTCTAACCTCTGAGAAGACTTAATCAAGTTCTCAGCTGACAGAATATACAAAGTAATTTCCAATGACAGAAAGCTATTAAAAAGAAAAGAAAAGAAAATCCAAGATTCAACATCCATCATACCAAAGAATGAATGGATGGAATTCATGCCACTCTATCTGGAATACAAAATGGTAATTCAAATTAAATAAACCTTGCCCCAAATTTCACCTCTCCTAATTCTTTTAACAGAGAATGCTTGTAAGAATTACAAGAGTGGCCTGAATAAAGGTACTATCATTGTGACTCAATACACTTAAGAATCATTAAGGTCATTATAGATCTACTTCAAAATGGAGCTTACTGATTGATCAATAATATCCTTCTTGGGTACATTATTCCATAATAGCAAACTCAGGAAAAAGCAATGTAGGTTTTTAACATCAAAGTCATAAAGCAAAAGCTGATCTCAGATGCAAAAATACTAATAGATAAAAACGTCCCCTTTAAGATAAATAACTCTCTATCAAAGGTTTACAAATTTAAATTTTTACATTTTAATTCACACACCCCGAATTAATCCCATTCTTGGACTAGATTTCTAAACTGAGAAAGCAAGTACATCAGCAATTTTCTGTGCAAGCAAAAATCTTTAAAATTCGGGTCCAGCCTGGTGGCTCACGCCTATAATCTTAGCATTCAGGGGAGGCGGGCGGATCACCTGAAGTCAGGAGTTCAAGACCAACCTGGCCAACATGGTGAAACCCTTATTTAAAAATAAATAAATAAATAAAAGTAAAATCTTTAAAATTCAACACATCTGATGTACAAACTGCTAATTTCAAAACTTGTTTTGTAAATTCTTGTAAACAGTCAGGGGCAAGCACAGTTACTTCAGAAATGGCTTTATTTTAGTCAGTACATACTGAATTCAGAGCCCATGAATACTTTTTTTAAGAAACGCCTTCTCTGTTCTCATCAACTTTGGAAAGAATTCCAGAGCTAATAAAATTGAAACAATCAATAAATATCCATATCTATCTTCAAACACTAGTTTTCTCACCTTTTTATGTATACACATACATGCTTTCTACGCACTATTTGAAAACATGCACACTCATAACTTCAAGCCTAAACGCATCTTCTAGAACATGCTGCTAGATAACCACAGTACAACTGATTATCACTTAACACATACTATAATTTCCAGCTGTCCCCAAAATGTCTCCTTTAATCATTTTTTGATCCCATGATCTCCATGCTGCACTTTATTTACTTGATCTCCTTTATCTAGTGTTTTCCCCACTTGTCTATTACCATTAACATTTCAGAGTTGGGACAGGTTTGGTCTACCTGTTGTATACATCCATGTCTGGATTTTCCTTTGTCATTAGACACAGGCTAAACAGTTTCTCAAGAATACTGCATAGGAAATGCTGTGTGCCAGGCAGTACATCAAATAAGCCAGCCTTTAATTTTAGTTTGTTCTATTATTATTGATGCTAAGTTTAATCACTTGGTTATAACAATCTTCCTCAGATCTCTTTATTGTAAATTTACCTTTTCCCCTTTGCACGTGGAAATCATCTATGGGAATGCTAATTTGAGACCATGTAAATATGATATTCCCCAACAACTTTTCACCCAATCATAGCAGGACAAGCCCATTAATAGTGGCTTAACATCCACTGATGATTTTGAATTATTTCCTGTGGGGGTTGCAAAATAGGCATTTTTCCAATTCTATCATTCTTCTTCAGCTTGGCATTCTTTCGTAAAGAATGACTTCCTCTCTTTTACTCTATTTTATTCATAAGATATTCATGAATTCTTTTTGTTTATAGTCATCAAGCTTCCTCTAATATACTGCTGATATCACATAGAACTAATCAACATTTCTATAGCCATTAACTACATCATCATTTTGCGTAAGAACTAATTAAAATAAATTCAACCATTATCGTAATTACCATTTCCATGCCATATCTATGTATCAGCAGGAAGCCATAAGATGTATTAACTCAGTTACTTTTTGTAAGAGTTTTTAAACCTAAACAAATGACTCTCTCAAACATGCAAAACCAGAAACATCATTTACATTTACCAATTTTCCAAAGTCATCATAAACATAGATTGAAATTATTTATATATAATAGAATCTTCTTAAGGGAGAGAATTACAGTAGGCTACAGATAAGATGTAACACTTCCCAATCTTTAGTGCACTGTTGTTAAAATCTTACTGTACCTACCAGCATCACCTCCATCTTGACTAGTGCCAGCTTCAGCCAATAAATTTGCATTCACATTCCTATCAACATCTGGCCCCGAGAGTAGAGCACCATCTAAATCTGAAAAGAAGACAGAAAAATTGATCTACAAACCACACCATAGCCACCACCCAAAACACCACTCTTTCTTGGAATTTTTTAAATTTAATTGAGACGAGGTTTCACCATATTGGCCAGGCCAGGATTGTCTCGAACTGCTGACCTTGTGATCCACCTACCTTGGCCTCCCAAAGTGCTTAGACTACAGGCGTGAGCCACCATGCCTGGTCTTGAAAGTGTTTCTTTAATAAAAAGCACCATCTGTAAGTACTGAATTATCTACTGTGTTCAATACAACAAGGCTCACAGAAGCCTAAGACATGTACAGTGAGTATAGTGTACTGGTTAGGAATGGGCTGTAGAACCAGGGTGAATTAGGTGCCACTCCTATTTGTTACAGGCTATATGACCATGTGCCTTAGTTTCTCCCTAATTTACATCCACTGATATCATAGATGTGATCTAGGAATCTAATTGGGATAATATAAAAAGCCAAGTGTTACAATTATGGTACTTGACACTCATACAATACTATTAGAACTAACTAGTATTAGAGATATAAAACACATTGTTGGTTTATCTGTATTGGTTCAGAAGTGGAGAAGACCAATTAAAGCTAGAATTGCTAGGCTGGAAGTGGTAGTTCACACCTATAATCCCAGCACTTTGGGCAGCTGAGGTAGGCAGATCACTTGAGGCCAGGAGTTCCAGATCAGCCTGGCTGACATGAAAAAACCACATCTCTAAAAAAAAAAAAAAATACAAAACTCAGCCAGGTGTGGTGGTACACACCTGTAGTCTCAGCTACTCGGGAGGCTTAGATGGGAGGATTCACCTGAGTCTGGGAGGCAGATGCTACAGTGAGCTGAAAGCCACACCACTTCACTCCAGCCTGGGGCAACAGAATGAGACCCAGTCTCAAAAAACAAGTTTGAATGTCAGAATACAGAATATAGATGGCAAATAAAACCATGGGGGTGAACGGATGTGACAGTGAGAAAAGACTAAGTATACTGAAGAATCCTAGCATTTAATGAGCTACAAAAAAAACACGAAAAACACTTTTAAGGGAAAAGTAGTCCACTTTGTCAATGCTGGCTACCCAGCTGTGTTCACTGTTAAAACTCATCAAGCTGTATATCTGGTTGGTGCACTTTGGCAATTCAAGATGAGAGCTAAAAATGGACAACAGTTTCCATTCAATAAGCACCTAGGACTATCACCAGTAATCTTACTAAACAATGCAGGTGAGGAGGTAGGGCAAGCACGAACAGTAAGAGTGGTCAGTGTTGTGAAGAGATGATCAATTAAGAAAAGAATCTTTGAGAAATCTAGCTTAAAGAAGGGAAGTATGAGAAATAGGGTAACGATTTTTTTAAAGAAAGTGAAAGTTCCTTATTTTTGAGGCAGGGTCTCCCTCTGTCAGCCAGGCTGGAGTCCAGTGGCACAATCACAGCTCACTGCAACCTCTGCCTCCCAAGTTCAACCAATCCTCCTACATCAGCCTCCCAAACAGCTGGTGCTACAGGTGCACACCACCACACCTGGCTAATCTGTCTTTTTTTTTTTTTTTTTTTTTTTTTGGTAGAGACAGGGTCTCACCATGTTGCCCATGCTAGTCTTGAATGCCTGAGCTCAAACAATCCTCCTGCCTTGGGTTCCCAAAGTGCTGGGATTATAGGCATGAACCACAACACCCGGCCAAAAGTTACATATTTAAATACTGACAGGAAGGAATCATTAAAGGAGAAGTTAAAGACACTGAAGATATTGCAGCGAAGAGAAGAAATTATCCATTGTGTAAGATTCCTAAGGTTTCTTGAGGTCCAGGGAGCACAAGTACTTAAGAGAGATAGCAGAAACCATCAGTGTAGAGTGCTAAAGCCAGAACTTAAGGATATTATACCAGGCTGTTGTCTTCTCTTTTCTATATAAGGTAAAATTAGTAGAATGTGGCATTATTGCTTACGGTAAATGGGTTGGAAGTCAGGAGAATGGGCAAGTATTTAATGAGGAAAGAACAGTAAATAGATATAGAACTCCTTTGCACACAATCCTTGAGAACGGGATACTGCTTAGGTTTATTTTCCCAGTGTTTATCATAATGAATGATAAATAAAGGCTTTTAAAAATATTGTTTACCAGCCATAATGGCTCAAGCCTGTAATCCCAGCACTTTGGGTTTTATATATATATATATGTATATATATATGTATTTAACTAAAAATTTAATGTTTTCTTAAAGTTAAATGTATTTCAACAGTCAAAAAATAAAACTGGCTGGACATGCATTAATCCTAGCTACTGATGCAGCTAGGACGAGAGGATGGTTGGAGACCAGAATCCAAGGCTGCAGTGAGCTACAACTGCACCACTACACTCCAGCCTGGGCAAGAGTGAGACCCTCTCTCAACAAAATTGAAATAAAAAGTAAGGCTGGGTGCAGTGGCTCATGCCTGTAATCCCAGCACTTTGGGAGGCCAAGGCAGGTGGATCACCTGAGGTCAGGAGTTCAAGACCAGCCTGGCCAACATGATGAAATCCTATCCCTACCAAAAATACAAAAATCAGCCAGGCGCAGTGGCATGCACCTATAATCCCAGCTACTTGGGAGGCTGAGACAAGAGAATCGCTTGAACCCAGGAGGTGGAGATTGCAGTGAGCCGAGATCACTGCACTCCAGCCTGGGCAACAGAGCACGACTCCGGCTCCAAAAAAAAAAAAAAAAAAAAAAAAAGGTTAAGAAAAAATACAATTATTCAATTTCACTAGATTTCTCAATGTTTTTTAAAAAGTCATTCTGAAATGCAGTCTGTTCAAAGAACATTTCTTACAATTCTGCCAAGTGGGTTTTCAAATACAGGTTTCTCTTTATGCAAAATTCTATATAGTGAATTGTCAAAAGCTTTCCTCAGCCAGTTCTTAAAAGGCATTTCTTATCTCCTACCCTACCCCTTAAGTATATTAGAACTTGTGATTTCTAATTCTACATGAACAAGTATAGACCTCCTCAGCCAAAATCTTACAAAATAAATAGCAAGTATATTTGTCTTGTGTCTCTTGAAAGGCACCAACTACTTAGTTCTTTATATCAAAAACAAATCTCAAAACAGGTGAAGATTGTCCAAGTTGACAATCTTCTGACAATAGTGTGCTTAACTTCCAGGAAGCAATGTATTATGTCACTGCTTATCTTATTCAGAACCAGCCAAACCACCTAGCAAATCAGTTGATGTGAATGGAATAGAAGCCAATCAACCATTTACTCAACACAAATGAATTCTGCTTCATTAGGAAGCATGATAGCAACTCTTGGTAGTCATCATTTTCTCTAAAACTAAGATTACGAAATAAACTCTAATACACCTGCTTTTGTGATATTCAGTATCTTCCTATGGGAATCTTATGCTTTATTTAAAGGCAGCAAAAAATGACTAAGATTTCTTTCCAAACAGCACAAAACCTTTCTGAAGACTGATTCAAACATTAGTTTCCTTTCCCCTCTTCTCATTACTGTGTTTGACTGAAGAGGGAAAAAAAAAAAAAAAAAAAGAAAAAAAGAACCAAACACACGAACATCACACTGGTTTCACAAGGTGACAGCTATTTTTCTGACTGGTAGCAGGTACATGTGTGGTATATAATATTCAAATAACCAGAGCTAAATGATAAACCATGTAGGATTTCTTTTTATTTTTTTTTTCTTTGAGACGGAGTCTCGCTCTGTCACCACACTGGAGTGTAGTGGCGCGATCCTGGCTCACTACAACCTTCGTCTCCCTGGTTCAAGCGATTCTCCTGCCTCAATACAGGCATGTGCCACCACGCTCAGCTAAATTTTGTATTTTTAGTAGAGATGGGGTTTCACCATGTTGGCCAAGATGGTCTTGATCTTTTGACCTCGTGATCTGCCCCCTCGGCCTCCCAAAGTGCTGGGATTACAGGTGTGAGCCACCATACCTGGCCTAGGATTTCTTCTATTTTTAAAAATGTCTTCTCAGTAAACAGATAATAGCAACCCCTATAACAAACACAAATTTTACACATTCAGCAGTGAGATCTTTCCATTTTTTATCAATAAGGAAAAAGGCTGAAGAAGGTTAAATAACGAGCTAGTGGCAGAGGTCTGGACTGTTTAGTAACTGTATTAAATTGCTTCCTGATAATCTATTGCAAGTGCCAAGCCTCAGGGCCTGGCACATAAGCAGGCAATCAAAAACTACAATTTGCAATACCGGGAACATGAGTGCAGAAGTATATTCACATGTACTTTGCTACTGATACTTGACATGCTCTTTTTGTGAGATGAACAAAAATAAACATTAATGCCACTGTGTTAAACCAGCATCCATTTTATTACATTCCTTTTACCTAACACTACCATCTCCTTTCTTCAGTGAAGTAAAAAAAAAAAAGAGAAAAAAATACCATCTTCACAATCTTTTTTTTCTTTATTTTTTTTTTTTATATAATTAAAGATGGGGTTTCACCATGTTGGTCTGGCTGGTCTTGAACTCCCGACCTCAGGTGATCCACCCACCCTGGCCTCCAAAGTGCTTGGATTACAGGCGTGAGCTACCACGCCCGGCTGCCATCTCTAAAATCTGAAGGATACCAAGGTACTGGCTATCATTGCTCTTTACAGTTACACTTTGTCTACTTTAAAGCAATCTCTTACTTAGAATTCACATTTATATACTTCTCTAATTAACCATGTATTGCAATTTTAGTTAGCATCTTCATGAGAGGTATTATTCATGAAAGGACGGTACAGTGGCTCATGCCTGTGATCCCAGCACTCTGGGAGGAAGCCAAGGTAGGAGAATCCCTTGAGCCCACTTGAGTTCAAGGCTGCAGCGAGCTATGATCACACCACTGCACTCCCTCCATGGGTGAAAGAGCAAGACCCTATCTCCTAGAAAAAATGAAAATATTACCATAGATTTAAAAAAATCTGATTAACAAGCAGTGGAAAAAGAATGAGATGGGATTAAAGATCAGTCTAAATCTCGGTCTCTACC